CATTTTTACCTTCTTTGTTTTTAAAGCCAAAATGCATCCAAGCATCTGACTTGAAATGTGATGGAGCCGCGGGGCGAATTTTCATAGTGTCCTCCATGTTTTGTTTCGTTTTATTATGTTTTATCGTTTTATTAGTTTTATTATGACTCGTCTCAGTATCCCACAGCCGGACATGCTTGTGACACAAAGCAGCGGGCGTCAACACATCCGCAGCGACATCTGCTGGACTGGAAGTTGTATTCCACTTAGTTTGGCTGATGTGCGCCAACCAATCATGTATTTTATTTGTTCATTTTTTTTTTATAATCGATTCTTGAAGGCAAGAATCGATGCAGTAGACCACAAAAATTAGAATCACGATGCATCGTCATGACGATTATTTTGCACACCCTTACAGTCCAGGTGGACCTCTGGTTCTCGGCAGGTCTGCCGGGGGTCCATCCTGTCTTTATGATCAGTTGATGAATCGATTCAAACCTAACCCTGCTTTATCCTGACCAGAACCTTCACCCTGACCCGTCTGCTGGGTTCCTTGGTCTGGTTTCAGATTTTATTTAGGGACATCCAGCTAAAGTGGGAATGAATAGGAATGCAAAACGTTGTATCTTTTTTTTAAATGATTAAAAATCTAATTTCAACATTGTTATTTAACATTAGGAAACAAGAATCAGTTTAAATAAAAAGTCACAAAAATAAACAGAGCTGGTTCCAAATGAAAGGAGCTTTTATCCTGAAAACTCTTTGGGAATCGCGATCACAATTGGATCCTTTTGGCATAAAAAGAAGTCTTCAAAGTCCGCATCAAAATCTAGATAAGTCATTTTTTCTTAAAATAAGTGCATTTGTTCTTGGATTGAGGAGGTAAAAGAGACATTTTGCCAACGGAACAAGACAATTTACACTTAAAATAAGAAAACACAATTGCATTTTCTTATTTCAAGTGCATATTATCTAATTATTTTATTCTAAGAGTGAAAATACTCATCCCATTGGCAAATGATCTCATTTACCTACTCAAATTAAGGGTAAATACGCTTAATTTAAGGAATTTTTTTTTCCAGTGCACTGAACCACTTCAGTTGGAGCGAAACAGGAGAGATGTGACCTTAGATGGTGTTTCCTGTTCATTCTGACCTCCATGTTTTTAGATGAACCAAGACTTTTTCAGGGAATTGTTTGGACCTACAGCAAAGGAAAGAATTATGAAGAGCAATGCATGATGGGAGTTTTTGCTGCATCATTTTTTTTAACAGTAAAATTCAGATTTTTATTCAAAATAGTGAAATTAAAAGGAAGCTCTGCAGCTGTGATTCTGTAAGGTGGAGATAAAGGAAAGCTGAGCACCAAAATGGACCTTAGAGATGAAGTAGAAAAACTTTTCTAGATTTTCACTCATTCGGTGTTTCAGAGAGACGTTTACATCCAAAACAATTGATCTCTTGAAGTTTTCCATCTAAAAATGTGTGTTTTCTCTGAACCAGTCTTTATTGTCACTTTGTACTTAGTTTTTTATGGCTCCCATGACATTTCCATTCCCTAAAGTGCAACAGTGATGAAATGTAAACATTGTAGGAGGAAAGACATGTTGTGAAAAAAAACAAACGCATTGATAAGGTCAGTTTGATGCAGAGTCTGTGATAGGAACTAGAGAAGGGGTCACTAATTAAAAATTAGCGGGGTCTAAATAAAGAAAATCCTCAGCCAGTAAAGGTCTGGAGACATTTTTAATCATAAACCATTACTTTAAACAGAATATAACATTTAAATAAAATGCAGGTGTTTATACGTCCATGTTATACTTTGAATTTTTAAATAAATAAAAAAAGGATTTTTTTTCCATTTTAAAAATTGAAGTGAAGCAATCTTTCTCTGTTCGATATATAGACGATTTCCTTAGACAGACTTTATCGTCATTTTGTAAACGGGGTGTATACAAAAGGAAGTTTCATTCAGTACAGCTCTCAAGACATTTTCATTTTTGAAGTGCAGCAGTAATAAAATGTAAACATAAGACTAGGGATGCACGATATAATCGGCCCCCTATCGGTATCGGCCTTAAAACTGAATATCGGACATCGGCCACCCCACCGATATTTAACCCGATATTTGATCAGCTTCTGAGTTTCTAAAGTCTAAAAAAAAAAATACTTCTTCTTCTTCCTCAAAAACTTCTTTTTTACAGACTTAAAAACTTCTAAAGACGAGGGAAAAAATATTGATCCATTAAAATATCCCAATATCTTCATATGCTGATATATTGCCATTTAAAAACACCATATCAATCTCTTTTACTAATGAAATATTGCTATATGTCATCGTTATGCTACGAAATCCCCCGAAAATTCACCAAATGTTGCCATATTTTTATATGTTGATATATTGACGCGGTATCGATCTATTTTACTAACAAAATCTCACAAGAATTTGCAAAATATCACGAGAGTTTGTAACAGAACGATGAAATTTCACCAGATTTTGAAAGTAAAATAGATCGATACCGCGTTTTTAAAAATCAATTTGATATCAGCATATGAAATATATTTGAGTAAATGGATAACAAAACTGCTATTTTCAATGACTACTTATTTTTGTCCAGCTTTAACATTAGTATCGATATCGGTTATCGGCTACATGAGTTTTAAAATATCGGCATATTGGATATCGGCCAAAATCCCAATATCGTGCATCCCTACATAACACTAGTGTATCATTTACAGTTTCCAACATTCAGTGCTTTTTTCAGTCTAATGGCAGCTGGGAAGAAGCTGTTCTGGAATCTGCTGCTCTTGCATTGGATGCTTCAAACATTGTGACTTTCATATCTTTTATAAAACCCTTGAACTGATCTTTTTTCCTTTCCTTGTTTCTGTCTTAATGTTGGCAGTGGGCTTTAGGCTGCCCTGCAAGGCTTTAAACCTGGGTTTAACCAGAGACTAAGCCATTCTCAAGCACATATCAAGGAGCTCATTTTGAGCCTGGATCCAGATTTATTGTTGATTCTGTTCATGGTGGAGAATCCTGCTTCACAGCAGCAGGTTGAGCCAAACATCCTCTAAATGTGCAGGGTCATCTTTGAGCACGCCATTTCACTTTTCTTTCACCAGTTCACCGCAGTTCTTCCAGCAGTCCACACTTTCTCTGCTCTCTTTTTCTCATGGTCTTCTCCTTCTTTCCCATCGCCCGGCTTGCCACAGGTTTGCCTGCTGTGTCTAAAAGTAGCAGCAGCAGCAACCCAGACTGACAGCTCATTGGCTCATTTGGATCACGTGCAGCCTGGAGCCGGACGCTCCCCAGGGCTTTACCGTATTAACAGGAGAAGAGGCGCAAGTAAAGTTAGACACTGTCGTCGGATAACATGCAGTAATTTATAAATGTTTTAAATCAGGTTGGGTCCAGATTAGCCAGCAGATGTTGTGCTGAAAGCCCTAAAAAGAAAAGGCACGGCACCACGCACCATCAGGCTGAAAGTCGGCCCAATTGGAAAATTCTCTCTCTAATGGAGAAAAAGGGCAGAAAAATCATACAGTGTACGCCCTGCTTATGGTTAGCATCTATTTCCATCTCCAAGCTGAGCTGAGCCACATGGAGAAACTGAATTGGTTCTGGTTTTATGCCTAAATGAGGCATAATTTAGGGCATTTGAACCCAATGACAACAAGGCTGTTGGGTCCGATACTGATGCATGGTGGTGGTAGCATCATGCTGCGGGGCTGTTTTACTGGTAGTGGTCCAACGAACAAAAGCTATATACGAAAAAAAGGAAGTCTATGGAGATAAAATTAGTGCCAGAATTATCTAAAGCAAAATAAACGTTTCAAATGAGATTTGAGTAATTTCTCAAAAAAGGCTTTGAGCGTAATTCAAAACCAATATTTTTAGAGTTTACTTTTTGCGTTTTTTTTTTTTTTATTATTCTTTAGGACTTTCGTTAGATAATCTTTTTTTTTCCATGTCCCATTTTTGTATTCTTTGCATTTAATTATAAGAAAAGTCCGCTCATATTCAGAATTCAAACTTCTGAAAGTTCTTTAAATCTGAAATGATTCCATCCTGTTCAATAAATGATCAGCGTTTTTAATTCAGAGTAATTTCCATGTGAATGTGCTTTACTGGAGGCATCCATGTTTGTCAAAGAACACTACTGCCACCTACTGGTTAGTGACGTCACGGTGCGGTATCGGCTGTTGATCAAGTCCCAGTGCTGTATCTGGTGTTTGTCACAACGCGCTATTATCCAAGTCATCTTGAAAACATTCTTCTTCCAAATGTTGGCTACATATTACGGGTTTTTTCTCTGGCCAGAAGTTCGATGGCAAATCCTCCCTCTTCAAGTTGGCGATCCAACGACCAACCCGTCCGTGGAGGATCAGGAATCAGAAAGGTGGAATAACTCTTTTTTTTTCACTTTTACCCGATGTATTCCAGCATCCAGCTGCCATGCACGTGGGCATTGTCAGTTTCACTATAACTCTGGTGAATTTCAATGGTGAAGTCCTCTGGAAATCTTCAATAATTGTTGTTGATTGCAGATGTGTCTAGTAGTTCCCATTGATTTAGCTTGGAAAGCGGGGAGAATGGCGCTAGGCTTACCGCACCGTGACGTCACTGCTGGAAGAGGGCAGGAGGGAGGGGCTACTATATCAGGGCAAAAATGGCCGCTCCCAGACTCAGTGATTGTGACAAAAATTATAACTTTTCCTTCAAGTTTCTCTTCGTGAACATTTTCTTTCAGGTTCTAAACTAGAAATCCGAAACCACTTTCGTAGCAATGACCCAAATCTGGTTCTAGACTGGATGACATGAAGGTTCTGGAGTTACGTTCCGTTGGTTCTGATCCAACCCTATTCAGAATAAATAGACTGTGACTAAAAGCTGGTTCTGTACATTAAGCGGCCCGGTTTCTACCTAACAGAGGCGAGTCCAGGAGCTCATCTCTGTGGTTCTGGAGGAACAGGTCGGAGCTAACGGACTCATTCTCCATGATCTTCTCTGAATCCCAGGTTCCACTGCAGAACGGGTCTGCTTGGCTGGAGACAGCGCTGGAGGAAACCTCTGCATCACCGTGTCCATGAAAGCCCTCACGGTCGGGATCCGGGTCCCTGACGGCATCATGGCTGCCTACCCCGCCACCCTGCTCACCACCGACGCCTCGCCCTCCCGCCTGCTCACACTCATCGACCCTCTGCTGCCTTTAGGCGTTCTTGCAAAATGCCTCAACGCCTATGCAGGTATGTGGGCGCCGCTTCACGGCTCCTTTGACTCGGCAGAACTTTCTGTCGCCTTTGGACCGAAACGCTCCGGAGAAATGCATGTGTAAACCTGAAGATGTGGGAGGAAAGACGGAGGATATTTACTGACCAGCAAAGCTCTGAAGTCAAACACTGACCTTAATATATCAAACTTGCTTGCGAACCTTCTGCCACAACAACTCCTTGATAATCGACCAATCACATTCACTTTATTCACTCGTGTAAAGTCGGCCACCACTCGGGAAAATTCGGAAATGCAACGGTTGGAACGGACGCTTCCCTACGACTTTAAAATGAGATTATTAGATAATAAGGACCTGGAGTAAGACAAAGAAGTTGTTTATTTCTTGTTTTCAAATGTAAGTTGTCTTGTTTCATTGGCAAAGTTTCTGACTTACCTCCTGAATTCAAGAACAGATGCACTTATTTTAAGAAAAAATCTCGATTATTTCCAGTACATCCAAAGAGGTGACTGACTTAGCATCTTTTCCAGAGATTCTGGTCCAAATACTATAACTTCTGCATTGTCTGCATTCAGAAGCAGAAAGTTTAGAGTTGGGTTGGATTACTCTGTAAATAATTGGGCTTGCTCTCCCCCAGGTTCAGACTTCCAGACGGTCCAGCCTGCAGAGCGAAGAGGCAGCCTGAGCGCTCTGGGCCGAGACACGGCCCTGCTGCTCAGCGACCTCACTCAGGGAGCCTCCAACTGGATCCAGTCCTTCCTGGACCCCAGCAGAGCGTTGTTTCGGTCACACAGAGGGATCGATCACCGCAGGGCGTCGGCTCCCGCCGCCACTGTGACCTCTGCAGACATCCTTCACTATCCGGACGGCTTTGAGCCGCTGCGCTCGGAGTGCCACGCTTACGTCCTTCCAACGTCCTGCCCTGTGATGAGGAACCCGTTCGTGTCTCCTGTGCTGGCGCCGACCAGTCTGCTGAGGGGCCTGCCCCCTGTTCACATTGTGGTAAGAGACAGAGGATAGGTTTGTTTCATCCCGATCCGAACCAGATCTATAGATTCATGCACCACCAAGCGGTGAAAGAAAAGGGCCCTACTTCCTGATTGACAGAATAGAAATAATACCATAGAGCAGGGGTCCCCAAGGAAGGGGTCGGGTCGCCCCATGGAGTCAAGAGATCGTTTTTATAAGCCTGGATTTGCTTTAAATCAGAAAAATATAAATGACACACAACTTTTACTGTCCTAGTTAGGATATAGATACGGTAGCTTAATACAGCTAGCCTCATACACTTAGCTTCATACCATTAGCCTCATACCGTTAGCGTCAAACAGTTAGCCTAATACAGTTAGCTTTATACAGTTAGCCTCATACAGCTAGCTTCCTACCAGAAGCCTCATACCGTTAGCGTCAAACAGTTAGCCTCATACAGTTAGCTTTATGCAGTTAGCCTCATACAGCTAGCTTCATACCATTAGCCTCATACCGTTACCCTGATACAGTTAGCTTCATACATTTAGCCTCATACAGTTTGCTTCATACCATTAGCCTCATACCGTTAGCGTCAAACAGTTAGCCTCATACAGTTAGCCTCATACAGTTTGCTTCATACCATTAGCCTCATACCGTTAGCGTCAAACAGTTAGCCTCATACAGTTAGCTTCATACAGTTAGCCTCATAACGTTAGCCTGATACCGATACTTTTTTTCTTATAATTACGAGATCTTATCTCGTAATTATAAGATGTTATTTCTTAATTATGAGATCTTTTCTCAAAATTACGAGATACTAAAATCAGCTGTTTTTTTTTTCTGTGGTGAGTGCAATACGCTTCTGTACAAAATAGTCTTTATTTCATTTATTGTGCGTTCCACTTTTGGACAATCATCCATACTTTTGACTGGGGGGGGGGGGTTTATGGTGAGACAAAATGCCCAAAGGATAGATGAGTCTGAAAAGGTTGGGAAACACTGCATTAGATGTTCAACCCCCTGAAGACCTGGCGATCCTGTCACACAATACTTTCCAAAATTGTTAAAGATAATAAAAAAACATCTAATGTTTTGCAATACATTCATTTGTTAGGGGGTGTGAATACTTTCCAGAGTTCGGGTGTTTTCCTTATAAGCTGAACGCAGCATGTTTTCCCGCAGGCCTCGGCGCTGGACGCCTTGCTCGATGACTCGGTGATGTTCGCCAAGAAGCTGCGGGCGGTGGGCCAACCCGTGACCCTGACGGTGGTAGACGACCTTCCGCACGGCTTCCTCAGCCTGTCGCAGATCTGCAAGGAGACGCAGTTCGCCTCCGACATCTGCGCTGCACGCATCATGGAGGTCTTCCAGCCAGAGAGCGCCGTCGGTAAACCGTCCACCCCGACAGACACTTAGCGGCGGGCATCGGGGCGGTTCTAACACTTTAATCCTTTACTGCACAGCTTAACTGTCTTTAACAGATTTACCGACTAACCCTCTGATTAGTGGAGCTTCTGGAAGCTCAGGAAATGATCTCTTCTTTGGGTTCTTAATGGGTCACTGGTACCGTTTGGCAGCTCAACGCTGTGGGTTATAAAGCCGTTTTTAAAATGGGGCCAGGAGGGAAACCAGACATTCCTCCTATCAGAAACGCACTCCACCTCATCCCAGTTCTGGTTCTGTTCTGGGGTCCGATCCACCTCAGCTGACTGTTGGAGCAGCAGAACCGGAGCTTCATCTTCCAGCCCAGCTTCTTCTTCCCCACCACAGATGTTCTCATGCCTCCGGATGAAGCTCTGCTCCATCCGGTCGTCTTCCTCCCCTTCTGCCATCGAACCCGGTCCGTCTGAAGCAGATGGACCACAGAGGGACTTTAATCTGCCTCAGGCTGACAGAGAGCTTCTAGTCCGAGTCCTGCTGGCAGAGGGAACTAGAATCCAGAAACGGGACTCCTGGTTCTGTCCGGTTCCTCTGATGTTTCCCTCCATGTTGAGCTCTCTTCTGGTTTACTCTCTCTCTGCAGAAACAAAGGAAAACAAATTCACCTGTAGAGGTTCTGATGGCACCTATCCTGATGCTTCACCTTCTGCCTTTTATGTCACTTTAATCAGGCTTAACAGGAAGCTCATCCCAGATGTTTTCACCATGAATGTTTTTGGACCTCATGTATAACTTGATGTTAACCATGTTTACAGCAGTTTGTGGTCCAGAGGGTGGAGGACACAAACTGAAAAACAATTCTAGAGTGTGCAATAAATCTGAACTACCAGAACCATTTGTGTGGTCAGGAGTGGTTTATTACTTTCTGTTATTATTTATTGAAGGTTTAAATTGAAAGGAAGGTTGGTTTTTCACCACTTCTGGACTTGAACAGAGTTGGATACAAAGGAGGATGATTTTGGTATAAAAAACATTATTGTTTCGACACCCGAGAGAGACAAGACTAAATCAATGAAGGGCTTATAGGAGGAGATATTGCTGCAAAAACCTCAAAAGGACATAATCAGGAGGTCTCAAAATGTATAAGACATTTTAGAAGAATACGGAAGCCAAAGAAGAGTAATAATAGCATAAACATTATATAAGTAGACGCCTCATTTGGAAGGGTTTCCCTATTTAATTACGATTCAGTTTATTTCGATAGAGCCAACACACGTCATCTGAAGGAGCTTTACAGTTCAATCATCCAGTGAAATTGATTCAAACTTTTCTATCTAAGGAAAACCAGCTGATTGCATCGACTCATTGACTCTTCAGCAATCCCTCACACTAAGCATGCTTGTAGCGACAGTGGAGAGGAAAAACTCCCTTTGAACAGGAAGAAACCTCCAGCAGAACCAGGCTCAGTGTGAGCGGCCATCTGCTGAGGCCCACTGGGGTTCAAGGAGACAGAAGCAGACATAGAAAAAGAAGCATAGATACAAAAGGCAACTGTCAACCAGCTCCACAGGCGGCCCCGTCCAGGAAACACACAGCCAGGCAGACGAGCTCCGAGCCAGCTCCCATGTCAGAGGATGAAGAGAGCACATCCAGTTAGTCACAGTCAGAGAAACAGGACTACACTGGAAAACAGGCCAAGCTCCAACATCTAGAAACAAAGGTGTTGATGGCAGCAGCACAGCTGATATTTCTCTCCAGGATGGAGTCACAGCCAAACAGGAACAGACCAGATGAAGCTACTATGAGAAAAAGCAGAGAGAGCAGAACGTTAGAGATTGAACTAACAGATTCTGCAGAGTGGGAGAATAGAGATAGAATGAAGCAGAATGATGAAAAAGGGGTCCCTATGTCCTCCAGCAGTCTAAGCCTATAGCAGCAGAACTATAGAGATAGCTCAGGATAACCTGAGCCACTCTAACTAGAAGCTTTATCAAAAAGGAAAGTTTTAAGCCTAGCCTTAAAAGTAGACTGTGTCTGTCTATGCTGTGGTTGAGTCAGAGCGTCCGCCATGTTGATTGTGGCAAATCTGTGGATAAAGACACTTAAACAGCATCAGAGGGACTTTAATCTTAGAACATACTTTGTATTTGTTATACTGTAATTTTTTTAATATTACAAATTTATTTTCATTTCACTTCGGCTTCATTCTTCTGACTTAATTCTGGTAAAGGATAAAAATAATTAAAATAATCTAACCTGGTCCTGTTACTGACTGGACTGAAATAGTTCTGCAAACTGTGACTATTCTGGACTTAATTCTCATGATATGATATTTTTCTCTTTATATTACCACTTACACTCACCGGCCACTATATTAGGTACCCCATGCTACTAACGGGTTGGACCCCCTTTTGCCTTCAGAACTGCCTCAATTCTTGGTGGCATAGATTCAACAAGGTGCTGGAAGCATTCCTCAGGGAGTTTGGTCCATATTGACATGATGGCGTCACACAGTTGCCGCAGATTTGTCGGCTGCACATCCATGATGCGAATCTCCCGTTTCACCACATCCCAAAGATGCTCTATTGGATTGAGATCTGGTGACTGTGGAGGCCATTTGAGTACAGTGAACTCATTGTCATGTTCAAGACACCAGTCTGAGATGATTCCAGCTTTATGACATGGCGCATTATCCTGCTAAAAGTAGCCATCAGAAGTTGGGTACATTGTGGTCATAAAGGGATGGACATGGTCAGCAACAATACTCAGGTAGGCTGTGGCGTTGCAACGATGCTCAATTGGTACCAAGGGGCCCAAAGAGTGCCAAGAAAATATTCCCCACACCATGACACCACCACCACCAGCCTGAACCGTTGATACAAGGCAGGATGGATCCATGCTTTCATGTTGTAGACGCCAAATTCTGACCCTACCATCCGAATGTCGCAGCAGAAATCGAGACTCATCAGACCAGGCAACGTTTTTCCAATCTTCTATTGTCCAATTTCGATGAGCTTGTGCAAATTGTAGCCTCAGTTTCCTGTTCTTAGCTGAAAGGAGTGGGACCCGGTGTGGTCTTCTGCTGCTGTAGCCCATCTGCCTCAAAGTTCCACGTACTGTGCGTTCAGAGATGCTCTTCTGCCCACCTTGGTTGTAACGGGTGGTTATTTGAGTCACTGTTGCCCTTCTATCAGCTCCAACCAGTCTGGCCATTCTCCTCTGACCTCTGGCATTAACAAGGCATTTCCGCCCACAGAACTGCCGCTCACTGGATGTTTTTTCTTTTTCGGACCATTCTCTGTAAACCCTAGAGATGGTTGTGCGTGAAAATCCCAGTAGATCAGCAGTTTCTGAAATACTCAGACCAGCCCTTCTGGCACCAACAATCATGCCACGTTCAAAGTCACTCAAATCACCTTTCTTCCCCATACTGATGCTCGGTTTGAACTGCAGGAGATTGTCTTGACCATGTCTACATGCCTAAATGCACTGAGTTGCCGCCATGTGATTGGCTGCTTAGAAATTAAGTGTTAACGAGCAGTTGGACAGGTGTACCTAATAAAGTGGCCGGTGAGTGTAGGTCTTTTTTTTTTACTTGATTGGCCTAGGACTTTTTATGCCTCATAACAGTAATTTTATCTTTTTAATAATCCCCCAAAAGGTCTGTTTCTAATCTGTGTATATACAAGATCTTAAAAAGTTAACATGTGACAACCTTTGATGTAATAATGAAGACCACAATGTTTTTAACAAATTGATTTTTAGAATCGAACACACACACACACACACACACACACACATATTTGTATATTTATGTTTATATATGTATAAACATATATATATATATATATATATATATATATATATATATATATATATATATATATATATATATATATATATATATATATATTTTTTTTTTTTTTTTTTTAATAGGAAGAAACTTGTATTATTATGGAAATATAAAACAATATGTTATTACATAACCGGTTTTCATGTACTAAAATGTTTTCTAATAACTAATAAATATAATTTTGCAATCAGATTTGATTTAAAATTCAATTATAAAACATAAATATTGTCAAAAATTGATAGGTTTAGGGATACAGCTTTTTCACCATGAAATAACTATTTTGATAATTTTACTAATCAGTTTATGTATCTTGTACACGGCTGTAGAGTAAAAAGATCCAGATTTGGGATTATTGCCTCCATATTGCTGCTGTCTGCCTGTCTGACGGTAGGTGGCAGCAGCGTGATCCCAGATGCTTGATAATCGGCTGTAGCGATTCATCGAGGAAGAGGATGCGACCATGTTGGTTTAAAGGAAGAAGAAACACAATAGAGAAAAAAATATTTCAGGATATCTCCAGCTAATTTAGAATAAAAACGTCGTTTCATCGAACGAAGATAATTGAACGTAAAGTAACGCAGGATTTCAGGTATGTTTATCGGACTTTGAAACGCTCCCTGTCGGCTGAAAGCCCCGCGGTTGCCACGTTAGCTCGGAGCTAACGGCTAACTGTTGTAGATTTGTAAAGCTTGAAAGAGTCAAATTCATACGAAGGCCAAACTCTTTGATATAAAACACTAAATCAGGATTTTATGAATTTCTACATATTTGAATAAATATGTTTTGTTGCTCCCGGTTGGAGTGTCCAGTCCTAGGATTGTAGTTTGAGTTTGTTTTAGCCGTTAGCTGCTAATGCGCCATAGCTTCTTTCCTGACGCGCAATTTTAACGCAACCTCAAAAGATTAAATTAAAACAGTATAATAAAAAAAATCACAGCCCTGCACGGGCTGGGATGCGTGCTATTTTATTGCGTTTTAAAAATATTTATTTAAATTTGACTGTTGTAAATTTAATTTAAGGTGGACTTTAAGTTGTGATTAGTCGCAGTCCTCTAACCTTGACAGAGTGCCTCGGTCCCTTTTTATCGTTGTCAGTTTGACTCGTTAGAAATCAACCTGCTAGATTTACAACAGCATTAAAACACCAAACTTTATTGTATTTCTATTGGTTTATCTTGAAAGAGTTTTTATTTGACCAGTACGTCCTTAAGTCAAGTCCGAATTAGTAGATAATCCATAAAATAAAAAAATCTGGACTGCTTAGATTTGAACTACATTTTAAAATTGGAATAATAATCTTTCAACTCTTAGGCAGTTATTGTTTTAAATTTCTATAGAGAAAATAAAAAAAAAGAGTTTAACCATATTTGGAACTCAAGACTGTAAAGATGTTAAAACCAAAATCTTAATAATCGAATGTTAATGGTTCTGTAACTTCTATTAAAGGAAAAGTTCGGTCAGCAAAGAATAATCAATGGATCTTATTTATACATAAAACTAACACGTTGACGATTTTGAATGAGTTTAGTGTTAATCAGTAAAACAAAAAACTAAAAATTTTGGCAATCACTGAGTCCGGGAGTCAATTATTGAAGATTTCCAGAGGACTTCACCATTGAAATTCACCAGAGCTATAGTGAAACTGACAA